AAAATATATAAAATATTAATTAAAAATAATTTCACATTTGATAGAGTTTTTATTATTAAATTTATAATTTACAAGACATATAATATATTTATAAATACTATTAGTGAAAAATTAAATATAAACATATATATATGCACAAAATTTTGACATAATCGACAGCCAGTAATGGTTGTCAATTATGCTTGTATAATCGATAAAATTGACTGTCCATTATACCTATTTAATCGACACTTTATCATCATTGATAAAGTTTTTGTCAATTATACAAGTATAATCGACAGTGTTTTAGTTGTCGATTATATTTTTGTCAGTTAAATGTTGTTTTCTAGTAGTGCTTGGACCATGGACTTTCCACTACTTAAGAACGTCAACTCCTCATCAAATGGCTCTTTTTCATCACTCAAGTACTTCTCCAACTCTGACTTCTTAGCATTGCATTCAATTCCTTCTTTATACCTTCAAGATTCATTCATTAGATATGTTCTCCTTGTAATGACAAAGAGGGAAGCACTACGGAAGCAGAAATCCAGAAGTAATTGGATTCGATTGGGTGATGCTAACACTTTGATACACTAAAATTACTCTAACAAGTGTGCTAGTCGCTCTAAGTGATATAATGATGAGAAGAGTGTCGAACCCACGAGAATTGTGGTTAATTAAGTACTAAAATAATTAATCTAAATTTATTTGAACAATCTAAAAGGAAGAAACTTTAATTAAAAAATAAGAAGAAGAAAATAATAATTAAAATAACATTAATCAAGATATGAGTTACTAAGGTACTGAATTCACCACAATCAATCAATATAAATTCCATATTAATGTACTTTTAAAACCAATTTGTTAAATGTTATTGTATGTGACGACGAATTTTGCTAAATTAATTAACCAGCTTTCTCAAGTCAAGTTGATCGTTCCCCTACTTGTCAAATTAATCATCTTTCTATGTAATTTTAAACAAATAAATGAATATTAAATTCTATGAAAACCTCTAGCTTAAGAAAGAGAAGCTCCTAACTCTCCTCTTCATCTGCTATCACATGTAACGCTTATTACTTCTCGATCTCATAATTTAACACATGATTTATATTATTATTAGTCTAATTCTTACAATTCTTTCTTAAATTCATGTATAAATTACTAAATCAATTGAAGGGTGATCAGACTTTCAATGTATTAATTTTAATAACATAAACTCATTATATGAATAACTTTAATTGAAAGCATAAAAATCACAAAATTTATACTAAATTGATTAGGCTACATCTTAATCTTAATAAAGTAAAATTAGTTCATAATAAAAATAATAAAACTTGAAATTATAGTTTTGACATTCAAATATCAAAAAATAAATAAAAAGAATATAAGGAAAAACAAAACTTAATTTGAGAAAATTAAACTCATTGATATTTTATTATTGATGAATCTTCTATTTTAATCACTAAGAGTGCTCAAAAGAAGATTACCACCAGTCTCCAAAAGCTCTCATTTAATTCTGAACTTAGGTGAGTATTTATAGGATTTTAGAAAATCTAATTAGAATAGAACCCATATCAAAATAATAAGCTAGCCACAGATTTAGTGAAAATCGCATAAGAGGTCAACACCTCCAACTAGATGCCAACACCTTCTGTTAAGCGCAATCTGAAATCACCGAGTCGAGTTTTTGGCCTTCCAAGCAATTTTTGTTAATGGTCAAATTACAGTTCTGGTTCTTAACTTCTAAATTTCGCACAAATTAATCCTCAGCTTTCTGATCTTGACAATTTGCTCCTAAAAATTATAATTTCTTCTAATTAAGTCCTTTCTTACATAAATAATGAAAGTTATGTAATATCAAGTAAAATCTCATAAAACTCATCCAAATATCAATAATATCAAGATTAAAAATTCACATTAATATGTATATAAATTTAGCTTATCACACTTCATATTTCCATAGAATAGCTAAGGGACGACGTGCTAAAAATACTATCACAAGTATAATGGGTGATCGTAGATGGGTTGAGCAGCCAGACATGGTAAAGAAGGAGGTGATCCTGTATTTTTGTAATTTATTTCAAGCTGATTCATGGAGACAACCAAGGCTAGGGGCATTAAAATTTAAACAGATTTCTGAAGAGGACAAGGTGTGGCTTGAGAGACCATTTTCGGTGGAGGAAATTGAAGAAGCTTTGAAGAATTATGATGGGTCTAAAGCTCCAAGGCCAGATGGTTATAATTTCAATTTTATCAAGTTTGTTTAGGACAGCTTACGGATTGACTTTGTGGACTTGTTCATGAATTTTCACTAGAATGGAAGGTTAGTGAAAGAGTTGAATTCCTCTTTTTAAGCTTTAATTCCTAAAAAGTTAAGTCCTAGAGAGCTTAAGGATTAAGGCCAATTAGTTTAATTGGGTGTTTGTATAAGTTGTTGGCAAAGGTATTGGCTAACCATCTCAAGAAGGTGATGTCCAGAATAATTAGTCATGCCCAATCTGCTTTTATAGGGGGCGTCAGCTGGTTGATAGTGTTCTTGTTTTGAATGAAGTTGTAGATGAGGTTAAAAGGAAAAAGAAACCAAGTTCTATATTTAAAGCTGATTTCAAAAAGACGTACGATTGTGTGGATTGGTCCTTTTCGGATTGGATGATGGATAGACTTGGTTTTGGTATTAAATGGAGATAATGGATTATGAAATGCCTGTCAACTGCTAGAGTTTTTGTTTTAGTTAATGGTAGTTCGAC